CTTAGGGTACAATTTTGCTGTCGGGTGGCTTATAAGCGAATTGTGAACATGGCTCATTGACTTGTTTTGAAATAAGAGATTATTAATGAGAAATGTCATCAAGAATCATTGTAGCAAAAATAAATATATGATGTATATATTTTATATTTATATTATTAATATTATAGTCTTTCAAATGGCTAACTCTAACATCAATAACAATAATAAATAAAAAAAACTAGTGCTCGTTTAGTTTCACATATATTTAAACGGATCTTAATATTCTTGTTATGAATAAATTCTCTTGAAAATATTGTCAGTTTGTTTTTTTTTTTGAAAAAGTTAAAATTAAAAAAAAAACTCGTTTTCTATAAAAATTCTAATTGTTGCATGGTAATATTTGTTTGTAATTATTTATATTTTCATTTTTAATTCTCAAATTCAATCATGAAAAGAAAAGATCTTTGATTAAGTCTATATACGATAAACAACAGTTAAATTATGAAAGTTTATAAATCAATGATTGAAAGTAAAATTAATATCTATTAACATGTCAATTATGCTCGTTTGACTAAATTCATTCTCAAAAAAATTTCTTTGATCTATGCAGAAACATTATGTTCAACTTAAATATTATTCATTTTATTAAGAATAATTATGTTAAAATTATAAAATCACATCATATAATTATCGTTTTGTGACAATTTATTTAAAGTAAACATATAAATAACATTATTATTTATGAAATAAAGAAAATCTTATCTTATTTTCTAATTTCAAACAGAATGTTTTCTTTTAGAGTAAAAAACTTTTATTTATATGTCAATTCTATCAAAAAATTCTCTCATCTTTATTTTTTCTATTAGAATCGTCCACAATATATCACTTATTCTAACTATCATACAAACATTATAAATAGTATTTATAGAAAAGTAACAACAATTCTTTCTATGTACATATAATAACTGATCATATTATAGGACTCTATTACATATCATAATATTTGTATTTTATATTGTACTATAATCTAGACAATATTTTGTATTATATTCCTATATCTAAACAGAGAATAGAAAAAGTTCAAGAGAATCTCTAACTTCGTTTATCATAAAATACAATTAAATATCATATTCATCTAATTACATAAGAATACATTTGAAAAAATAGTAATAAAATGTTTATATGTAAAAATTATGTTCTAAATTGGAGCTTTTCTAGCAAATATCAAATATTTGTTTATATTTATAAACTAAAATTTTGAAAGAGACAATTTGAAAGAGACAAAAAAAATCAAGTTTTAAAAATAAAGAAGAGTTATCTAAGATGATAGTGCGATAAAGGGTTTATCGCAGAAAAAAATTTTCAGCTTTACATTTATCGAACATAGATAGAATCATTTAAGAAATTCCAAGACAGAAAAAATTTAATTTTAGGAGATACTTAATCTAAAACTATAAATAAAATGAATGGATCTGTTATCAAGAAGACATTTAAAAAAAAAGAAACGAAAATTATAAATTGAATTCGATTGCTTCTTATAACGATTCAATCATAATCATCTTATATTACTGACGTTCATATCGAAAAAAGAACTTTTCTTTTAGTTTTAAATCCACTTGATTAAGTTCAACTATCATCTAGAAATAATACTTAATTCTAAATTTTATCAATTTTAGGATCTCTAAATAATTAATTCATAATTATTTCCATTGATTGAACTCATAACAAAAGAAATATCTTTTTCTTTTATAAAAATCACGTTTCTAAATATAATAAGCCATCTGCCAGATTTTCCTCGAAAAACTTAATTAGTTGACTCGATAAGTTCTAGATAAAACATATTCTCATCCGGTTCATGTATGAAAAAAAGAATTCTCAACCAGTTTGGTGCGCAAAGAAAAAACTTCATCAGCAAATTCAATTTCTAATAAAAGAACCATTCTACAAATTTAGCATTCAATATAAGAATTCATGACACAATTGAGCTTTGAAAAAGAAATAATCCACAAAATTCATCAAACAAATTTTCGATAGATATTCTTTGTCAGCAACAAGATTTGTAAACAAGTATATGATTGCTTTAACTTTTACTCTTTCTCTAACCGTCTGGTTGGATAACTCAGACACATTCATATAAAAGTGCTATAGAGATAGTCTAGTAATAGTGTTGTATCTAGCCATAATTTGAAAAAGTCATTACAAATCTTTCATTAACAACACTAATGGTTAGAGTCGATTGTAAACGACTTTCTTCAGTAATAAAGTAACGTACACGTGAGAGCAACAGCCACATTGCGATCCACTGAGTTTCTGCTCGGTGCTATGCTGATTCGATAGGCTTCAGACCTATACGACATTTGCATTTATCATCATGATTTTATTTCTTATTCTTTTCTTCTAGTTCTATGTAATAGAACTTTGTTTTTTTATTTTTGAAAACAAACGACTAAGTTCGTTGATTTGATATATCCTTCTTATTTTGGGTACTATCTTCATTATTGTATTGCACAGAATTAAGTAAAATGTATATTGATATTATAATTTTATTATTGTCATTGCAGTCGTCATCATCATCTTCTTCTTCTTCTTCTTACTTCATTTTCTATATATTATAATATTATTTTCTTTTACTTGATCATCATATATGTTGCATCTATATATATATATCTATATCTTGATTGACAAATCATATCTAGACATGTTTTTTTTCTTCTTTATAAACACATTTATCTATTATTTATCATCATCAACCGTAGCAATAATAAAACACATGTTAATTCGATAGATTTTAGTTCCATAGACGATATTTGCGTGTTAAATTTGATTTGATTTTGTTTATATTAGAATGCAAAGGCAAAACTAATTTTCAAATGACAATCTATTCTATTATAAATATCAATATGTATATATAAATAGAAGAAACAAGAGAAATAAAATGAAATTTTTTTTTATTTAAAGTTATGTAGTATTTTTCTGCTTCTTCTACCTCTACTTCTTTGTACTATTATCCTTTATTTGAACTTGAATAATATGAAGAAATTCTAAGCAAAATACATATGAAAAACAAACGAGAATTACTATAATACGTATATAGAATTCTTATTTTCAAGAAAAACAAAACTATACATTCAAAGAGGTTATATCGGTGTTTCAGTTAAAATAAATGTAACTTAATATAAACATCTATTTCCTTTACATTTAACTTTATCAAATTCTTATATAAGACATGTAAAATTCAAAAATCATTTCAAGACAAACAACAAATACATATACATATGTATATTTATTATATAAAAGAATAAAAACATATACACCATAAGATAATCATCACTATTATTTTTCATTTCTTTATAAATTTTACATTATTGCATTTTTATTATTATATTTTTATTTCTTATATTTTGGTTCTTACTATCATGATTTATAATATAAAAAAACATAGAAAAAATCATATTTGATATAAAACAAAAACATCAACATCTTGTTTAATAATCAAAATAAATTATAACTTATATTTATATAAATATATATATATACTATATCATCTTTACTCGTATAATACATAGTGAAATTTCGTCTTTTTTTATTTAATCTATTCATAGAATATAAAATAAAAATAAAAATAAAAATAAAAAATCGTATTTTTCGTATTCAATATAATTATATTTTGAAAGGATGGGAGACGATTTGTCCACGAAACGGCCCTAAATGAAAATCTTCACAGAAACTATTCATATACTACGTCATAGGTTTTCTCTTAAATTATTTCGTTATCTCTGACTCATATTATTCACCTTCCGAAGTATTTCGAAGGATAACCCATGAACATGAACGTACCACTATAGTCCCATACATAGCAAATTTCCTAGTCAATAGTGAAGTGTCACACATATGATCCTTACTATGGCTCGTAGGATCAGCGTCATTTTTTCAGGGTAGATACAAGTCATTGAGAGCTTCAAAATGTTGCCAAAATATGTGGGTAAAACTGTTGCACTCGGGATTTCCTGAAGAGCGTACTATCAAAAACATAGGGAAAAAGCATGGATTGTGAAGTTGTGTCAGTATGAAATTCACTATTGCTTGTAGATCCAATGCCATTTTTTTAGCATAGATAGACCTCATTGAGAGCTACAAGATGGTACTAAAACATGTAGGTAAATATACTGTGCTCGAGCCTTTTCAGGGATCAGTCTCTTACAAATACACAAAATCCTGTTGGCTTTGGTAGCCTCACCGAGTAGATTTTCTCTATGGCTCGTACAACCGGTGCTGTTTTTTTTCATAATAGATACAGCTTTCATAAAACTTCAAAATCATACTAAAACTTTTGTAAAAATGTAGTCGATTTGAATTTTTCCAAAAGCCACATTCTCCTCGCTTTTCCCCACTAATGTTACGCGCATTTCGTAGGTATTACTGAGACCAATCTATGCTGAAAAAATTACGTCGATTGTACGATCCATAAGAAAAATTTATCAGATAAGATTGTGTTTATCTAAAGAATTTCCCGGGTTTCCAAGAGAGTGATCACTGAAAAGGCTTGAGCGCAGTATATTTACCTACGTGTTTTAGTATCATTTTGTAGGTCTCAATGACCAGTATCTATGCTGAAAAAATAGCGCTAAATCTACGAGTCGTAAAGAAAATCTACTGGACAACACTGCTGGTCAATAGGATTTTATAGGTCTTCAACGGAGATCGTTACAGGGTATGGTTTTTAGCCATGCCCTGCAGGACCAATAACTAAGCCTGATCATTAAAAAGATTGATGGTAGACTAAACATTATATAATCGTTTTCATATTTAATAACCGTGCTATATTTAACATAGTTTTCAAAAGAATGCTCCAATCAAATCACATTCATAGAAAAAACTATTGTATACGGGAGCATAAAAAACAATAGAATTATTAGAAAAAAGCAAAACTAGTATACAAGAAAAGTCATAACGAGTAATATCATGAAAATGAGTAAATAACAATAATAAAATAAAAATGCAAAAGGTGATCTATCTGTTCATTACTGTTTCTGTAATGACTGTATTAAAAAAATATTGTTTACTTGTTTAGGATTAATATTTGTTCTTCGTTGATTTATAATTAAATCTGCGCTTGAAAATTGACGTTCCACACTGGTAGATGTTGTAAGTATTGAATAAATATATTTTGCTAATTTTGATAATAATGGATATTGATTTGTATAAGATTTCCAAAAATCTAATGGATTATCTGTAACTGATAACTTGTCGATTTGCATGACTAAATATCTATCCAACTCATCAGATTGTTTCCTGCTAAATTCATACGTATCACTTTTATATTCAAAGCACTCAGCATTGTTCTCTCTGAAACCATGTGAATAATCATCTTCAAAACGTGTACATATTGAATCAGCTGTTTTGAACTTTTTTGGATGTAGATCAGCTGTTTGTTGAAGTATTTCGGAAGTTGATTGTGCATTACGTATTATTTTTAATTGTTCACGAATATATTTATAACACTAAGAGAGTTCTTCTTGTGAACAGTTTTTTAATAACCAATATTTTGGGCGCAACATTATTGCACAATAATGACGAACATCAAGGACACATAACTCATCAATTAATTTTAATAAACTTTCACGAAACCATTGAATACCTAAAACAAAACTAAACAGAATGAAAAATATTTGATTGAAACATAAAAATCTCCTAATTTCGAAATACTTCGTGAATAACATAACTCATCTAACGAATTATCTGATACAAAGCCTATTTTTATACTAGTCTGGCAATTCATAATCTTCATATTATTCGTCTTCTTTAAATTCATTATGAATATATTTTTTCCATTTGGATTACAATAGTTTCTTTTGTATTTAATTAATGATTCATATGAACCTAAAGTATCTTTCAATGTTAAAGTACATAGCAAAACCATATGCAAAGATGGACCTTTTCCCTGTTTGAATTAAAGTCATAATGTGCTTGTATAGTTTTAAAAATAGTATCAGTTGCTTGATTGTTGTTTCATTCGAATCATTTATTAATGATTGTTTCTTTCGAGCTAATAACAAACGTTTTGTTTGTTTCAAAGATTTTAACAAACTCTCTAACAGATTCGACATAGACAGCCACTTGACTACGCATGATTGATGTAATGTACCACCACCATCTTCTTTTATATCATTATTGTACCTGCCTAAAAGACAAGTTGAAATAAGATAATAAATACGAGTTGATACTAATAATGAATACTGAGTAAAGGAAACTTACTTTCTTCACATATCTCGCAATCTTTTTGCATTTCTTCAAAACTTCAAGAACTTGCTTAGCACATAATGGAATTTGATCCGTGGTCATTTTTACCAACGAGACTGATAACTCATTTGTTGTTATAGAAGTCTTTCTCGAATGAAATTTCTTTTGTTTAATAATTGGTAAAGCAATAGCATGATCACATTCATCATCATGAGAAGATTCATGATTTTCGTTTTTAATACTAGCAGCTATAGTTGTTTCTTCTGTATTTGGTTTATCTGTAGCGCAACCAGCAGTAACTTTAATTTTCCTTTTCTCAGTCTGGAAAAAACCTATCTTTACAACATTATTAAGTCTATGTCCATAACAGAAAATCGGTTGAAAACGTTTAAAAACACAAACGAGGTTGCTACCACGCTCACAGACAATGTTAACATCAGGTAATGAATTGATTCCATAGAATTTCAAATACTTCTGAAGTGCCTAAAAAAACTTTCGAACTTTAAGAATTAAATAAATTTCATAAGTCTTGGATGAACTGTGTAAACTCTCATTCTTAAAAACTTTTTATAAAGATGTATCTTTATCACCGCATTTCGATAAATTTTGCATGAAACAAACATAGTAGTATTGTCTTTATGCTTTATAGACACTTGACAAGGTCTTTAGAATGAGTAGACTTACATTTAAAGTATTTTCAGTCGTTTTCTTTCATATTTAAATGGTTTACAACAAAGATCAATTGATTTGAAACCATGTTCAAAATCGACTAATATTACAATAACACTTAAACAAGAAATCTTTTTATATGAATCCATTCAATAGCCTGAACATATTGTTATTGAACGTTCCTTTAAGGGAATTGATAACGTTTCTTTAATTTGACTACGCAAATTATCAGCAAAGATCATTATGCGTTGTGAAATGGTTTTTTTACGACGTGATGCATCATTAATATTAAATGTTCCATAAACGGCACCTGAAATATACATAAAAAAAGAAAACTATAACATGCATACTTTAATTTCTTTACTTAAACGAATAAATTCTTGAGCCAAATTTCTAAAATCAGAATCATGTAAAATACTAAAAAGTCTAATATCACTACACCCTTCATTTTACAGATAAATCTTTGATTTTTGCAACATCACCTTCAGTAGTTTTGACACCTTTAGTAAAACCCATATTATTCAATGTTGTTTGTTTTGATGAACTAAAGGTAATAGATGATGATGTTGTAGCTGGCTCCAATGGAAAATATTTATTAGCGTGTTGTTTAAAGCGTTTAGAGCCACTTATTCTATTGTAAAGATATGTATTCATACACCTGAAACAACTAATAAATCCGGGAATTCTTTTTAGTTCATTATTGTCATTTAAATATGCAGAATAGCTGTATGCTCGCCACTATAAAGCCTTAGTTTTAGCTTCATTTTTTATTACTTGATACTTGTGTTGTTCGATCAATATGAGAGGTGCTTGATTTTCTCAAGCGTGAAAGCGTATGAATTTGGAATGCGATGATAAGGAAGATGATGATGCATCAGAAGAC